GATGTTCCAGGAAGCATCTGTTAACTAGAAATTCCCGAGAAAATTTCGAATAATATTTTTCTTTGAAAAAAACTTTTATCGCGGCCTTATTAATTAACTCATTAAACAAAAAATCACTGGCCAATCATACGTCGCTGGAAATATTATAGTTTATACATTGTATAATTTCGTAATATAATTCTTTATATAATTTTTTACCGATAAAAAATATTTGTCGTATTCAACGCACTTTCTTCGACGATATGTTGTTTGAATTTTTTTCGTTACCAGCTCGACCGCCGGTACTATCAACGAACGCTACTGTCACGGCTCGATTAAGTTACGTGATTGGCCAATGCTTTTTATTACTCATCCACAAAAGCCGTTGAACGAATATTCGCTCACAAAGAAAAATGTTGCTTAAAATCATCTCACAAATCTCTAGTTAACCTATATTCCTATATTTTTGGGATACCCTGTATAGTAAGAGAAAAAATGTGACAAATCAAAGGATGATAATTTGTATTTATTCATTTCATTTTTATTATTATCAGTACTTGGTAAATCGGAAAAAAGATTCCAGTACAGAGTAAAAGTACCGAAAGCTGAAACTTTATTCTTGGCAATGGAAGAAAAAAGCGAGAACCGATTGAGTGAATGGAATTGTTCCAACTTAATACGCGATCATTTTGTGTTAAATGTTGTGGACCGATCCGGCGAAACTGCATTCGTCATGAATATGGATACCAGCCTGATGTATATTTTTAATAAATTACATGTGAGTTAAATTTAAACGTGGATTAAGTAAACGTGAATGAGATGCTTTGACTTTGAGTCTTGGCAAGAAAGAAAAATGAAAATTTTGTTGCAGAGGATGACGGTGAAAAGCAGAAATTTAATTGGCACGGTGGAAGAAAATTTTAATATAATAGGTTCGAGTTTCACAGTATACGATGCGATACGGAACAAACTTTGTAACATATATGGTCCAAATGTGTGCAGTTGCTGTATGTATCAAGAAGCACAGTTTCAGGTCCGATCTTAATCTTTACTCTCATTTATTGTATATTTATTTGTTTATTATTTATAATAAAGAGGAATAAAATATATATTGATTCTACAGGGTGTTTTCGATAATTAAAATTTAATCAATTGGTAATTCTTGAGATGAAATAATTTTTCTCTTTGCGAAAATATTATCGTGATCTACAAGCTCTGCAATTATAATTTTTCGTTAATAAATGTGAAACGAAAATTTTTGCAAAGAAAAAAATTTGCAGTTATCACCAAGAATCATCAATTAAGCTTTATCACTAACACATTCTGGAAATAACAAAGATATTGAAGACGATCAAAAATGAGTCTGTATTTACATATCATTTGTATATTATAATGTATTGGTTTGTTTTAGGTAATTTCGATTGATGGTACTCATCAAATGGCATCTCTTATGCATCAGTGGGACAATAATCTTCGTGATTATGTATTATTAATTACATTTCCTACGGAAATGAACACAAATCTTAAAAGTTTACTTCTTGCTGCAGCATTTCTTTTGGTATATTTTCTTTTATAAGAAAGCTTGTATTTCATTATATAATTAATTTATATAATTAATATTTATTGATACGTGACATTATAGTAGTTAAATTTAATTTGTTTATTATATTTTTTATTTTATACTATTTTTTAATTTTTGATTTAAAATATCATATATAATTATATATAATTTAATATATATTTTTTCCAATATACAGATTTTTATAAAATTTCATTTTGTATTATTTGCATGTTTTAGGAATATATGTATTTTGAACAAGTAAAAAGATTATCATCTCGGAATTAATTATCAAACAATTATGATATCGATCTTTAATAATTTTACTCTGTTTCAACAAAATTGAAATAATTATAAATAATATATTTCATAATTAAAATGATCAGCTTCCATAATGAATGTAATTTTTATAACGCAAACAGTAATGCAGCGGAAGAATTCTTATAATTTCGAAAATAAATCTTTATATAGTTTCTTCACTTTATTATTTATTAGATATAAATTTTTGAATGTAAAAGACCTCAGATATTGGATATTAATTTTTTTTTTTTTTTGAAAGATTAAATAAAAAAAATGAAAAATCTGAATCCAGTCAAGGGCCGATGTTATCTATACAAATAATAAAAATAAAAACTTATGAAAAACTTATATAATAATACACTCAGTACATATACAGATCATTTTAAAAATATATAATATTTTGTATTTATTGCAAAATATTATAAATTTATAATTCAGTATGATTACAACAATATTTGAATGTTATTTTATATAATTACTATTTTTTTGTTTGTATTTTTTTTTATTTTTTTTCTTTATTGTTTATGTTTTCCTTATTTTCTATACAATAAATTTTAATAAAATTCAAAAATAAAATATTTTTTGTAGTAATATTATATAACCAGAATTTTTCATGAAAAATTATTAGTAAAATCGATTAAAAAAATTATATAGTTCCATTTAAAACATTGAAAAACATATTTAATCTTGTTCTATGTATTTATTGCAAAAAAAAAAAAAAAACAATATATATCAAATCATATCTTCTTCGAAATTTTTTAATTTTTATTTGAAATATTTTTCAAAATATTTGAGAATGAATTTCATTAAAATCATTATTTGAGAAATATCAATCAAAGTAATTCTATTTACATGACATATTTATATTTAATTATTAATAATTAGAATAAAAAAAATTATTGAAACGTTCCATGTAATATCGATATATAAATATCAAATTTTAACTTTAATT